TGGGACATTACTGATTGTCCAGAATAGAAATCTGGACGGCTGGATCTCTTTAAGTGGATCAATTTTCAAATAATGTCTGATAATTATTCAAACGAAAATATTTCCAGTATAAGAAATAGAGGTTCTTATATGAGTACCTGTGCAAGATCGTCCATTCTTGATGAGCTTTGATAATTCTTCTTTATCGAGTCGAAGACGAGATAAAGAAACATTATCAAAGCGAGTCAAGAATGGACGATATTGAACAGGTACGAGTACAAGAAAGTTTTTCTCATATGACTCTGTATTATGCCATATTTTCACCATTTTATCATAAAACTTAGTGAAAAATAGCTTCAAATTAATTAAACTTCATCTTTCAATTGTTATGACGTCATAACAATATTGAAGAAAATACATAGATACACGTGGCAACATAGCTCCATTGTTATGACGTCACAGCTTAGTTTTGTAGAATTAGCATGGATACTCATAGCAACGGTGTGTCCGTTGCCATGTTGATGATGTTTATAGACCAGTGATGTCACAAGTAAATCTCATTTTTTGACTTTTTAGGATGAAAGATGGCAATATCTTGCATGAGGTAAAGATGGCTGTATCTTTGTTAGTCATATGAGAAAATATTATCTGCTCAACACAAGAACAGATATTTCACTTTTTGTGATTTTGTAATTTGGTGTCTATGGTATCTCCCGACCTGGAGGTCACAACTTCAAATTAAAGAAGATTAAACTTTCAAAGTCGGTTGATGATACTTTTAACCACATTTCTAGATGCAATTTTACATGTAGACTTCACATTTGATTTTCCTAATATGTAACTAAATTTTGAATATTCAATGAAGTAAATCAAATTTATTTCTACTCGCATCGAGTATATTGTCAAATAACTTTTTAATAATTGTACTGTAGTATAGAATTTGCCAATTGAAATGTGCCTAACTCAAACATAACTGTTTCTAAAAATTTTACACGATAGGCAGATAATCGCTGCACCCTTTGAATGCTGACTAGATACGTCTTAGCAATTTAGTCTTGTAGATGGAATTTTCACAATATGTTCCCATTTTAGTTGTCGTTAGTTTCATGAAGAATTGAGTTGATAATGATGAGAGATTATTCGAGCCCCGCCGTTTCGCCCATCCTCTTTATATAAGTAGTAAGGTATTAAATGCCTAAAGATTTAATCCTGAAAATAGCTGATTTGATGATGTGTTTATCTGGTATAAACTATGTTTCATCAAAAGCTTTTAAGGGCAACATCATTCAACTCATCAAAGGCTATAGATATGAAAACAATTAACTAAAGTTTCCGTATGAATTAAATATTTATGACCTACTAAGCATTATGAAAGAGAATGAAAGCTGTCATTATTATAGATATTAGCGTAGTTCGTCAAGCCCATTTATGTACCAGGTGACACAATATAAATCCAATATTATCTATGTAGAATTACTAATCATATTTTTTGACTGTTCCACCGTAAGGTGGCACTTTTACCGTGGGGACTCCGTGGGGATTTTTTCTAATATTTCATGATCATTGTTATGTCTTGACAAAATTATAATTCGGCAAATATCTGAGTATATATATCATAATCTGATCGAGAGTTGAACACGTCAACATAGAAGATAAAAGCGGACTAATTTCTCCAGATTTTGATGTTTCATTTGCCAGCCGCTGTGTCTATTTCGCGATCCGAGACACTGCCATGGGAGTTTGCCAAGATCTATGTAAATCTGTAACAATTCTTTAATCAGTCGATGTTGGTGAGTCAATATTTTCCTTAAAGTCCCCGTATAACGTTTAAACCACTTTGGCTTATATTGTAGACTAAGTCTTATTCAATGTTATCAAAGTTTGATATGTGAAACTGGTTTTTGAAGGACTTTTTGTTCAAAAAATCGTGAATTTATTTAAAATTAACGTTTAGAGGTCACACGTATCTTTAAGTAAGCCACGATTCATACCAATGCATAGCATTCATCCTCGCATGTTTCTTTTGCCGAAATTTTTTTAAAATTTGGTTCATAAATAACCAAGAAATGAACTTATCAGTGCATGAAAATGGTTCAGAGAAAAATGCATTTCAAAATTTTAGTTCTCATAGAAACCAATGGTACAATTATATCTAGAACATAATATATTCTTCCTTTTAACCTGTTTAGACAATCAACGTTGGTTTATTATTGAAGTATAGCATATTTAGAAAAGATTGACATAGAAAAAAAATTCAATTTTTTCAAATGGTTTTTGCCACCTGAGGGAGTCATAATGACATCACTAATGTTGCAAAATATTTTGATAGGCTAAAACATTGAAGTGGCCCATTAAATATGGCATTTTATTATTGAAATAGTGTGTTCTTTGTTCAATCTTTGCATTGGTGTTAAAAGATAATCTTTTTGAAATGTATGAAGAAATGTTTCAAGGATATAAAATTTCAACTTTTTTTGAAAAATGGCGGGAAATTTGAATATTTGAGGAATAAAATGCTCATAACTTTTTTTCAAAAATCTCTAAAATAATTTTTCCAAGTCATGACAAATAGTAAATGAGTGATAAAAAAAATATTTTAAACTTTACATGGGGACCTAAAGACAGTAGCCAGTTTATATATAAAAGCGTGCATGTGTTTAACTGTAATGGAGATGTATAATGGAGATTTATAATTTGCAAAAGTAAGCATCATAAATATTGTATAAAATCCGGCGTTAAACTATATTGTTCTACAAAGTTTATGAGAACATAACCAACTTTGATGATTCCTTGGAATATCGTTTTGCCATGCACGAGACATGGTTTTATCATAAGGCACAACAGACTACCTCATAGAATTTGTTGCGGCAGTGTGTCCCCATACACCTTATAACAACATATCCCGGACTTATGATATGGCCTTATTTTGCCACTGCCTCGTATAGCCGGTTTTATTATATACCTCAAATGTATTCTAGATGCTCATTGGCTTATTCATGGTCACAAGACATGGAATAGATGAACTAATTCCCTGGAAAGTCCTAAATCCCTGCTTTCAGGGAAGATGAATTGTACTAATCACCAGTTAGGTCGTGTGACCAGTCAATAGTACGTTTTATCTTCCCCCAAATCGGAGATTATAGGAGTTGAAAGGTAAAATGCCTTTAAATGCCAATAAGAACCTGTGAACATTTGATATTGAAATGAAAAGACTTCTCATTTTGTTTTTGTTTACAGAGTACTTATTAGGTATATAATAAAACAAATAGTGACTGCCACATTTTCGGGAAATAGTGTAAACATTTTCCTCTCGGGAATATCCTGTCCACTGACATGTTCCCGAGGCCTGCAGCCCCGAGAACATGTCAGTGGACAGGATATTCCCTTGGCAGTCACTATTTGTACAATAACATTAACTCTACTATATGATGATAACATAAATATGATGATAAGTCGAGTATCCTTAAAGACAACAATTACAATATATATGTTATCTCTTTTAAGGAGATATATTTATTACTGAATTACAAGATATAGTCACCGAGTTTAACTTAACTAGAAAACAAATGATAACAAACCTTGCAAGAGTTGTTCAAAGTATTCTTGAAACGTCGTTTGACCTTTTTATGAATGTTAAAACGTTCAGTTTATCTCAAAAATACGAAAATGTGAGTATATTCCCAACGTACAAGTTAGTACACAGCTTTGATTGAGACGCGTATTTATAGTTTGTAGTTATTCAAGATGGCGCATCATATTCTTATTTCAATATGTATTATTTCTTTTTTCGGAACAGGTAAGTAGACGCTGTTTCATATTCTAATATTCATGAAAGTCTTACTTTATTTCTGGATATTTTGTAACGAACATTTGAAAATATATTGATCTGTCTGATCTGAGTTATTTTCGAGCCATTTGCTATGGTGGGTGTGCCGGATGTCAAATCAAAAATTATTCTTTCCTTTTCGTAGTGACGTAAAATCAGTCTTTAAATTCATATATTAATCATAATATTTCATATATCATAATAATTATTTTATTTACTTATTTGTTATAAATATTCTAAATATATTGAAATTTCAGACTCAATTAACCTGTTGGTGCACCAGATGTTATTTAATTTGAAGCGTAGCATTTTTATGTCACCACCAAAAGGTGGTGACATATTGTGGTGTTCTCCGTTTTTTATGGCGGTGGTTGGCGGTTGGCGTCTGTAACAAATCTTGGTATCTGTAACAAATCCCTAAAACTTTCAATAACTTAACAAATACTGTTTAGACTGAGTTCAGTTTTTTCAAAATCATCTACAAGTTTTCAGAAGTTCAAATCTGACTTTAGATTTTAGATTTGACCTTCTTTGACCTTCTCAAGATAGAAAAAGGTCAAAAAGGTCAACTTGCTTAAAATTGACCAAATCTTTTTTTCAAAATCATCTACAAGTTATCAGAAGTTTAAATCTGACTTTAGATTAAAAGTTTAATATTCATTGACCTTCCTAAGGTCAAAAAGGTCAAAATATTTTTTTTAATCAACTTGCTTCAAATTGAACAATTTTTTCAAAATCATCTACAAGTTATTAGTAGTTCAAATCTGACTATTGATTTTGACCTTCAGTGACAAGGTCAAAAAATTGACCTTCGATGACCTTCTAAAGGTCAAAAAAGTTCTTTTTTTCAACTTGCTTCAAATTGACCGATTCGTTTTCCAAAATCATCTTCAAGTTCTCAGAAGTTCAAATCTGACTTTAGATTTGAGATTTCACCTCCAATGACTTTCTCAGGCTCAAAAAGGTCTTTTTTAACTTGCTTCAAATTGACCATTTTTTCAAAATCATCTACAAGTTCTCAGAAGTTCAAATCTGCCTTCAGATTGAACTAATGATATCGTGGGCAACTAGGTGGTGACATTTTGTCATGTTAATGCCTTGTATAAAATGTTAATTATCATCATATCAAAAGTCTCCCATATGCACCAAGTAATATAATCGGCAGCTCTACACTCTCACTTTGAATATTTCAGTGTTGGCATTAACATGCCCCGGTGGCTGGTTGGGAGGGGCGGGGAGATGCTTTTTCTTCAGTGAGGATAAAGAGGCGGGGTGGTACGGTGGGCGAGATACATGTAAAAAGAAGGACGAGTCTTCACATTTACTTAAAATTGACACACCAGAAGTAAAGGTATGAGATGGGATCCACATTTGAATTGTTTCATATTTTGTAACCGCTTCCTTGATAAGAAATTATAATGAAACCATGTGTAATGTGAAATTGTTATCCTAATATATTTTGAGTTCTGATTAATCAACAATGGCAATGCATATGAGCCTATATCCGCATGCAAATACTTCATTTTCTCGAGGTAGTCTTGTGTGAATCATTATATTTGCGACATCTTTACTACCAGTATGAATTTAATACACTTTGACAAAGTTACTTTTTAGAAATTCATAGAGGGCGAGGTCGCTAAAAGACCAGATAATTACTGGCTCACTGGCCTGCACAGACATTCGGATTATAAGTGCCCGATGAACTGGAGATGGGAAGACGATCAGAATTCTGACCTATCGTTTGTGTGAGTATTTTGCATAGAACGTCATCCCCTTTTCTGAATGAAACGCGAAAATAAGTGCATTCGTATGCTAGTTATTGGATGATCCTCGTATTAACCTTTATACACTACTTAATTAATTACACTTAATCGGATTATCACTGGAGCATGGTTTAGTGTAAAAATCATATATCTGGCATCAAAGGTTTGTTATTACATTGGTTTTGAGATGCGATACTCGATTCAACTGTGTTAAAAAACATCAACGTGTGAAAATAATGTTTCTTTAAAACGATTGTATCTATTTATTTATCATCTTCAGAAACTGGGATTCAGAGCCAACCGATTGGCGAGGTTCAGAACATTGCGGGGAAATAGAAAAGGATGGAGTGTACAATGATGCAAGATGTGAGAGCAAGAGAGGATATATATGTAAAACTACAAATACAGGTTCGAATAACCTTTGATTTGGAGGGTTTAATGGGTACTCCCCAAAAGCTTCATTCATGGTTATAATTTGAAAACTAAACATTGGGGAGGAATATTGGTCTGATAACACGGGATAAACGTCTTTACAAGTGTTTTCTTATTATTCTACAGAATTCACATTGGATATGATACATTGACAAACATTTAAATCATGTCAAATTCTATTTCATCGGGAAGAACTAGAGGCATCATTGGGGGAAAATTAATAACTATATATAAAAACAACAGGTCAAACAAGAAAACTAAACTAGATTCAACATTGTGTGCGGTGATCCTAGAAATTATTTTATAGGAACGTGTCCAAAGAATTGGATTAGCAACAGCAGAGATTTGGTATCACCGTGTTATTACTTTAGCACACGAGCGAAAGAGGATGAACTGAATTGGGATGACGCAAGGTTGAAATGTCAGAGTCTTTCACCAGGAGCTGATCTCCTATCAGTGACAACACAAGAGGAACATGTAATTTAGCTTTCATTTCCAAGTATCTCAGCAAGAAAAGCCATCCTTCATTTTATATTCAATAAACTGAATACATCCATACGATTGCGATATTCACATGCTATTGGTTTCTTACAGGATTTCATAAAAATAAGAGTGATGCACTTTTGGAAGATACGAATGACGTCGGATGGTTGGTGGACTGGACTGAATCGAGCTGACGTCGGGGCAACATGGTATTGGGGAGAGGGTAATCCAGTCAGCATGGGTTTCATGTAATTGTCATTTTTATCTAACTTTAAAGAATGGGTATCGATATGACGAACTTTTTGAACACACGTTTCTCTTAAACCAGTCATCAAAAATTTCTGAAAACCTTACAAATTGTCAATTTAATGGCCATCTTTTGAATGATAACAATACAATTTGAAATAGATATACATACTTTCATCTATATTGTTTTAAACACAAACACTTGTTTTGTTCTTGTTATCATGTTTCCAGAGTGAAATGAAACGTCTTTCCGAACCTCATTGGAACAAAACGACATAAACACAACATGTTTAGGTCTCTCAATATTGTAATTGTACAAAAGGAATTTTGGTTGATTTTAAAAAAGTATCTTGTTAATGAAATAAAAGTTTTTTCTTGATTTTTATCTATTTTGGGGGAATTTTGTTTTAATTTTTTGAATACTTTTTTAAAATCAACCAAAAATTCCTTTGTATAACTTTAATATTGAGAGGTCTAAAAACTTGTTGTATATGCTATTTTGTTCCAACAAGGTTCGGAAAGACATTTTATTTCATTCTCAAGAATTGATAGAAAGGAGCAAAAACAATTGCACTAAAAAAACAAAAAATGTTAACAAAAACAGTCATATAAAATATTTCTAAATAATTTTCGCATTAAATTGTTGTCAGTCAGTCAACATTACATAAAATACCATGTTTTTACAGAATGTTTTCAATGATTGATTTAAGAGAAAAACATTGTTGAATTCAGTTCTCCATATCGATACCTATCCTTTAATACAGGTCAAAGCTCAATATTGCTGCTGCATATCTAAAATATCTTTCTTAGGGCAAGGGCAACACTTCGTGATACCTCAATATATTTGCATGATCTTCCGCGTTTGTTTTTTACTCATTTTTAGAGATATTTTATGCTATAAGCAACGGATCACATTAGTCATGTATTGACAATATATAATTATAAGGCCTAATAACAGCATCATGAAAACTATTTTAGAGATTGGAACCAGGAACCAAACAGTTATGGCAGCAAACATTTCTGCGCTAGGTTCTTCAGTGAGGGAGCATATGAGGACGAAGATTGCAACGCTAGGCAGCCTTTCATCTGTCAAGGTAAACGAGCATTGTGGCAAAGAGATGACGATCATGTCCGTAAATTTCACAGTTGGTCAGTCAATTTAATTCTTGTCCAAGGTCAACAACAGAAAAACAAAAACAACCACCAATCGATGTAATTTTACGAAACTAATTCCAATAGTGATAAGTGCAAGCATTGTATTACCGGATTTGCCGGTAATTATCAGTCTTTTTTGTTCTCAAGGGCAGTCTTTTTGGTTTAAAATTAATTCAGCCCCACTGAGTGATCATCGAAAAAACCCACTCCTTGGCTTCTGCCCAAGACTCTGTGTCCTTTATAGTATTCAAGAATTATAAATAATGAGAGTAAACCATTGCTTATTTTACCTCTTAGTTCAGGAATGAAACAAGCGCGAGTATTTAGTAACAAACACGATTTGGAATACGTATTAAACAGATTTTATTCTGCAATCAAGTCATTGAATATTTAACCTTATTGTTAGCGCCTCTTCATTTAATTTAGCCCCTGCCTCTGGCAGCCAATGCCCACCAAATTGGTTATTAGCTGGGAGCTTCTGCCATCTCCTTGTGCCACAGCCCGTCAATTGGTACGCTGCTAGACAATGGTGTAAATCAAACAGTGGCGCCCCTGGTGCCACACTTGCAAAAATCACATCACAGCCTATTCTGGTACGTGGGTACTTGTATTAATATATGGTTAAGTACTGGTACATCGAATCCATCAGAAACCTGCACAGGCATAAATGATTTTTAAAAGATGGCAAAGAAAATTTGATATTAGAGCGATTTCGCAACTCACTTATAGCATGTTTATTATGCTCGTATATAGTGTGATATGCTTACGTATAGACGGCGATTTATAAAAATACCACACTTATAGATGTATGCAGTTGTGCAATAAAATTAATGATGCCGTCATCTAACACTTCATAAGTTATACGTTATACGGGAATAATAAACATGCTATAAGTCAGCAGTTGCGAAAGCTCTAATATGTCGATTGTTTCCGTGACTTCACTTGTGATAACATTTATAGTATACGTGTTTTACTTTGGTAGACTCAGTTGTCTCTACAACTTCAAGTTAGCAATCCTCGCCAGAGCTGGTGGACGGCGTTAAATGACGAAGACCAAGGGGACAGATGCTTTCTCTGGTTCTGGGGCGAGGACGAGCCTGCCAAGAAAGAATTGGTGTATGTTCACTGTGTAGATTCAACATAACTACTTAATGATAAAGCTCTAAACTAGTAATTTCTATATTTGTTTTTCGCACATTTTAAAACATCTTATCAGTTTAGTGTACATACATATATGTTTTTTATCATGACCGTAGCACTGGTGAATCAACCCCCCCCCCCCCTTTGGGTGGACCCATTAAAAATTGAGGCCCAGAAATTTAGAAGGACCTCAATAAGTGGGTCTTCTTTGGCATTACTGATTTGAAATATGTCCCCCCCCCCCCATTGTAAGCTTCTGGATCCACCAGCTGCGCGTAGGGAGGAAATGTTCGTGCAATGCCAATTCTCTCATGCCTCTTACACTGACATTTTAAAACTTGAAATGCCACGATTAACAAAAAAAATAACAAAGAACATCTTTCTGTTTAGAGCAAATTTGCTTTCCGACGGACATCACCGGCAAGCAGGATTTGTCGCCGACATATCAAACATTCTGAAAACATACGACTTGGAACAATACCTGATTCAATATCTAGAAAACGGTTATTTTCCAAATAACATCTTGAGGAAACGCATTTGCAAATATGTAGTCAGACAACGCTTCCTAGTTCAGAGTGAATCTCAACGCAATGACATCAGAATTTCCATTTCTGTTTTGAGAGCTCATAATCTTTAGAACTTAGCCAGGAAACGGAATTATCTACTTCCGTATATTCTCACAGCAGTCAAAATCTTAGCCATGCCTGTCAACGACTCCAACCTTCTTTGCGACAGATGTGGAAAATTCTATAAGGATGCTATAAATCACGGACTGTAATGAGTACAATCACATGAGTAATAAACTCATTAATGACATTGCGTTACCCAACAACCATCTAGCGTTCTATCCTGAAAAACATTCATATCGTGATATCAGACTCAGGCATAAGTCTTGTACCTATATTTGCATAAACTTGCAGAAGATCTTGTAATCTGAAATTTGTATACTGTGACCTTGTTTATGTTTATTCTATTAATCTAACAATGTAATTAGTTTATATGAAATCCGATTTGAAATCGGGAATAAAAGATGAATACATACATATCCCTTCCGAGTATTATTAATTGATGTAAAATGCAGCCATATTCTTATAGACAATGGACTAAGGAGCCTCAGAACCTGAGCGGGAATCAACACTGTGGCTTGATTGCCTTCAACGGGGTATACATGGACTACGACTGCGACAGATCAAATGGATTCATATGCAAATATCAAGGTAAGAACCTAAGTTAAAGCAACAGGATGAAAAAATGGTTAAAAGAAACCACCATCAACAAATTAAAATAAAACTCATTGTGCGAGCACTCTTGAAATAGTTCGTGCCCTCCCTTTTCAAAGTTCCATCCATATTAATTGGCTTTGATTTTTCTTGTAGGAATTTGTCCGGACCAGGACGGATGGTTTGAGCGACAGGGGTATTGCTACTATATCAGCAGCAGGGTTGCCCCTGATATATCTGACTGGGCGACTGCTGCTTCAAGGTGCCAAGTCTTTAACCCACAAGCTAAACTGCTCTGGGTGTCTGATGATGCTGAGAGGGTAGGTGAACAGCAAATGTCATAAGCAAGCAATAAGGGAGTTGCTATAAAGCTGAATAAATAGATAGATTTTTTGTTTGGACCAGACGGCTTCAAAAGTAAAAACTTGCAATGATCACTTTTCATGATTTTTTATGGTATCAATGGAGATTTGGTCCAACATTTTTAGAAAAGTTGAAAAGGTCACGGAAAGTGATTTCAGATAACAGTTACGGTTATTATTATCAAACGTTATTATTGTGGAAAACTTTTCACTAAATTCCAATATGCGATTAAAGAGAAACCGGGAAAAGAAAGACTACTCTATTGAATTGAGAATGTGCTTGCCCATGAAATATTTTGTGAATGTATTATCGAAAACAAATAAGACATCATGATTTAGAGAATTTGAAAAAGCGCGAGTGTCACCGAAGTAGAAATATAAAGCAGCAGGTAAAACTTTAGATATATGGACATAACTATTAATATGAACTAGAAATTTATTACCATGCTTAAACTATTGATACAATATATAATATAAAGTAGCTTTTTGTATCAACTTCTTAATTACTGTTAAACTTTGAATTCGATTGTTCAGAATAGATCAGCTTTAAAACAGAGGCGTGCGTACAAGATAGAGTGATTATTTTATTGCAGATTTGGATTCGAGATATTGTTGGAATGGCGACCGTGAACTCCCCCACTTCTAAATGGGTGTTCTGGTGGACAGGGTTGAATGATCTCAGTGGCCCAAATATGTGGATGTGGAACCAAGACGGACCAGCAGACATGACTGTAGTGTAAGACCACCATTTAACCTGTATAGTGCATACATGTATTTAGTAAAGATCGGCTAAAGATAAGTTCTTAATTGATTTGCTTTTTAATTCCTATCCAATTTACTTCTAATAAAGAGCAAGTATATCTTGTTAATTAATCTTAATATCGCACTCGTGTATTTTGTTCAGGGATTGGAACATGGAGCCGAATGAATTTGCTATACCATTCAGAGGTCGTTATTGCGCGTCTATTCATAAACAGGGCACGTTCCATGAAAAGGGATGCTCTTCGTCTTCAAGTTACATCTGCTCTAGTGAGTTGTCATGTTTTACTTTTTACACTAGTTATTCTTTTAATTATTCTAACCCTTTCAACATACATAATGACATATACACATATGGCATAACTATTCAACATTTAGGATATTAGAATATCTCCTGTCTACTAATTGCCTTTTTGTGTCTGATGCGTGATTAAATATAGAATATCCCTTCTTTTAGTGAATGAAAAACCACAAGCTGGTCCAATTGCTGGCATTGCAGTGGGTACCATTATTGGAATAATTGCATTAGGAATCGCAATATATTTTGGATTCAAGAAATACTACCAGAAAAAAGATGGCACCTCGGATATACCATTCAAAAAAGATGGAGGAGAGACGAGTACTCCTGGTTTCGACAATCAAAACTTCTCCGCAGGATCATCCGCGTGAAAATGATACATTTAGTTATTTTCTAAACTATATAACTGTTGTTACTAAACTACATGTATATAATATAATACAACGATCGATATATAGGATTAATAAACGTTTTAAACCGAGACCCTGGTTTTTTATATAGGTGTTCTTACCAACAAAGCGGAACTGCGCTGGTATTTGATTTGATGACTAATTACACATGAATGTCTATTTTTGTAAATAAGTTGGAATGTCAAAACGTCCAGCACCGTTTTCTCTAAACATCTAATTATTATTTGATGAATCATATCTGGTCTAAGGCGTCCATATTGGTCTCATGTTAGAGTAAAAAAGCAGTATTCAAAGGTAGGAGAACTTTTGGATCAGCCTGTGAACATAAATGATTAGCAGATTGTTAAAAAAAATTATGAAGATTTAATATCAGTGAACATAATTCAATCGATGTTATATATAAATTGTAGGTATATTGCTTTTTAAGTTTTTAGAAAGACAATTCGATTAGCAATAAAATGGTATATAAAAATGAGACTGTTCAGTATCACCATTTATACAAAATGTGTTTGGTACCATGTGTGCATTTTTCAGATACTATGGAGGAAATAGGTTGTGATCTCCCATATTGATAATTTCATTCTGGAAAATGTAAAACACTGATTATACCCATGAATCAATATGTCAAAATTTAAAATGTCATAAAATACCTTTCATTAACGTTATTGAAAATGTGTGGGCATTTCCCCGATTAAGAACTCGCAATTTGATTGGCTGTCTCAACACTGCGCACAATCATGTATACGTCATCGGCGTATAATTAGATCACGTGATTCCGTTTAATCGGACGCGTCCAACTTGGTTATAGCAGGGGGTAAAAAGAAAGAAGATATTCTGGATTTTGAAGCTCTGTGATCGGAGGATGGCTCAAATTTGTTCCAGACTGATTGGCTTTTCCCTTCAGTTTCAACAGATTTTTTTGGCTTAGAGAAGCCATATTTATTACTTCTAAGGGGTTAAAATATAGATAAATCCCCCAAAAACATTGTATATTGTTTTCGACTTATTCGTTCAATTCTGGCAGTTGGTTGTTCTGTTGGTTGTCCTGTCGATTTCCTCATATTGGTGATATTTTGCTTATAATTTGGTCTCAAGATATATCTAAGGTATATATATATGATGTTTTCTGAGCAATTATATTGGGACATTACTGATTGTCCAGAATAGAAATCTGTACGACTGGATCTCTTTAAGTGGATCAATTTTCAAATAATCCAGTATAAGAAAATATTATCTGCTCAACACACGAAAAGATATTTCACTTTTTGTGATTTTGTAACATGGGGTCTTTGGAATCTCCTGACCTGGAGGTCACAACTTCAAATTAAAGAAGATTAAACTTTCAAAGTCTGTTGGCTCTTTAACCACATTTCTAGATGCAATTTTACATGTAGACTTCAGATTTGATTTTCCTATGTAACTTAAGTTTCAATATTCAATGAAGTAAATCAAATCTATTTTTTACTCGCATCTAGTATATTGTCAAATTACTTTTTAATAATTGTACTGTAGTATAGAATTTGCCAATATCCTACATGCGAGTAGAAATTATCTTGATTTATGTCATTAAATATTCACAATTCAGTCAAACTGATGTCATATTTAGAATCTACATCTACATCTTTTTTGAGGATAGGTATTCTGGCATATCCACCTCATGGTCATCCAGTATTTATTTTATTATGCACCTCCCTTAATTGAGAAATACTTTATTTTAAAGAATGTGTCTAGCTACTAAAACAGTAGCCAAGCCTATAACTTACTCTAAAAACCCTGGTGTTCGACAATCAAAAATTCCATTTATTCTCTCATTTGGCCTTATTCTTAAGTATTCCCTCCATATATAATAATTCGACCGATCCCTTATCTAGCGCCACCTACTTTTTGTCAGTTAGAATAACAGGAAATTGAATAGAAATCCCCTTCTCTCATATCACGCAAAGCATTTCTCCCTCGCATTCGTCTCAAATTCAACATGGAAGAGATTCTAAGAAAATGACGTCATCGACAATTGGACTCGTCGAAATTATTTTTTCGAGGATAGGTATTCTGGTATACGGGATGGTTGGAGATTTCGTTGCTTCAATACTGGATAGAACGAGATCTTGCTGCCACGTATGGCAATAGACCCTGCAGCTCTTAACCAATCAGATTTGAGTATTTTAATGAGGTGCGTAATAAAAGAAAATATTATCTGCTCAACACACGAAAAGATATTTCACTTTTTGTGATTTTGTAACATGGGGTCTTTGGAATCTCCTGACCTGGAGGTCACAACTTCAAATTAAAGAAGATTAAACTTTCAAAGTCTGTTGGCTCTTTAACCACATTTCTAGATGCAATTTTACTGTAGACTTCAGATTTGATTTTCCTATGTAACTAAAGTTTGAATATTCAATGAAATAAATCAAATCTATTTTTACTCGCATCTAGTATATTGTCAAATAACTTTTTAATAATTGTACTATAGTATAGAATTTGCCAATATCCTACATGCGAGTAGAAATTATCTTGATTTATGTCATTAAATATTCACATGTAAAATTACATCTAAAATGTGGTTTTGAAAAAAGTTTATCAACTTTGAAAATTTAATTTTCTTTGAAAATGTGACTTCTAGGTCGGGGAGAATCCCCATAGACCCCATGTTGTAAAATCACAAAAAGTGAAATATCTTTTCTTATGTTGGGCAGATATTTTCTTTTACTGGACATATTTCAATATGTATAACGATTACATACATAAGGGTAATATGAAAAGTGAACCACTAAAACTGATGAATACTCAGGTTTAAGGGAATCTTGTAAAACTCTGCCATGTTATTTCCCCCGAATCAGCCACCAGGTGGCGAAACTGGTAACCACCTACTCGCATCTGAGTAATTGAAATGTGCCTCACTCAAACATAACTGTTTCTAAAAAATTTGCACGATAGGCAGATAATCGCTGCACCCTATATGAATGGTGACTAGATACGTCTCAACAATTTAGTAGTCTTGTTCATTGAATTTTCACAATATGTTCCCATTTTAGTTGTCGTTAGCTTCATGAAGAATTGAGTTGATAATAATGAGAGATTATTCGAGCCCCGCCTTTTCGCCCATCCTCTTTATATAAGTAGTAAGGTATTAAATGCCTAAAGATTTAATCCTGAAAATAGCTGATTTGATGATGTGTTAGTCTGACTATGTTTCATCAAAAGCTTTTAAGGACAACATCATACAACTCATCAAAGGCTATAGATATGAAAACAATTAACTAATGTAATTATTGTAGATATTAGCGTAGTTCGTATAGCCTCTTCATGTACCAGGTGACACAATATAAATCCAATGTTATCTATGAAGAAATACTAATCATATTTTTTGACTGAAAATTTAAAATATATATGGTTAAATTGCACTTTTTTCAAAACATGTACTCCCATGTTTCAGCTTCCACCGTAAGGTGGCATTTTTACCGTGGGGACCCCGTGGGGATTTTTTCTAATATTTCATGATCATTGATATGTCTCGACAAAATTATAATGCGGCAAAGTAATATCTGAGTTTATATCTCATAATCTGATCGAGAGTTGAACAGGCCAACAATAGTAGATAAAAGCGGACTAATTTCTCCAGATTTTGATGTTTCATTTGCCAGCCGCTGTGTCTATTTCGCGATCCGAGACACTGCCATGGGAGTTTGCCAAGCTATGTGTAAATCTGTAAACAATTCTTTAATCAGTCCATGTTTGTAAGTCAATATTTTCCTCAAAGACAGTAGCCAGTTTATACATGTATATAAAAAGCGTGTACGCGTAATGGAGTTTTATAATGTATAGATTTATAATTTGCAAAAGTAAGCATCATAAATATTGTATAAATCCGGCTTTAAACTATATTGTTCTACAAAGTTTATGAGAACATAACCAACTTTGATGATTCCTTGAAATATCGTTTTGCCATGCACGAGACATGGTTTTATCATAAGGCACAACAGACTACCTCATAGAATGTGTTGCGGCAGTGTGTCCCCATACACCTTATAACAACATATCCCGGACTTATGATATGGCCTTATTTTGCCACTGCCTCGTATAGCCGGTTATAACATTAACTCTACTATATGATGATAACATAGATATGATGATAAGTCGAGTATCCTTAAAGACAACATAATTACAATATATATGTTACCTCTTTAAAGGAGATATATTTATTACTCAATTATAAGATATAGTCACCGAGTTTAACTTAACTCGAAAACAAATGATAACAAACGTTGCAAGAGTTGTTCAAAGTATTCTTGAAACGTCGTTTGACCTTTATAAATGTCAAAAAGTTCAGTTTATCTCAAAGAATGCAAAAATGTGATTATATTCCCAACGTACAGGTTAGTACAAAGCTTTGATTGAGACGCATATTTTATAGTTTGTAGTTATTCAAGATGGCGCATCATATACTTATTTCAATATGTATTATTTCTTTTTTCGGAACAGGTAAGTAGACGCTGTTTCATATTCTAATATTTATGAAAGTCTTACTTTATTTCTGGATATTTTGTAACGAACATTCGAAAATATATTAATCTGTCTGATCTGAGTCATTTTACGAGCCATTGCTATGGTGGGTGTGCCGGATGTTACATCAAAAAGTATTCTTTCCTTTTTCGTAGTGATGTAAAATCAGTCTTTAAATTCATATATGAATCATTATATTTGATATATCATAATAATTATTTTATTTACTTACTTTTTTGTTATAAATATTCTAAAATATATTGAAATGACTTTAGATTTGAGATTTCACCTCCCATGCCTTTCTCAGGCTCAAAAAGGTCTTTTTCAACTTGCTTCAAATTGACCATTTTTCAAAATCATGTACAAGTTCTCAGAAATTTAAATCTGACTTCAGATTGAACTTATAATATCATGAGCAACTAGGTGGTGACATTTGTCATGTGAATGCCTTGTGTTAAAATGTTAATTATCATCACATCTAAGTCTCCCATATGCACCAAGTAATATAATCGGCAGCTCTACACACTCACTTTGAATATTTCAGTGTTGGGATTAACATGCCCCGGTGGCTGGTTGGGAGGGGCGGGGAGATGTTTTTTCTTCAGTGAGGATAAAGAGGCGGGGTGGTACGGTGGGCGAGATGCATGTAAAAAGAAG